TATGCTGATAATTTCCATGCCTTGTGTAATTCTCAACACAGCCCATGAGGGAAGTCCTGGTATCAACCCCAGTTGACAGAAGAGGAATCCACAGTTTGGAGGTTATACCATTTGTTCAGTACTAGAGACCTGTTAGAGGCCCAAGCTAGCATCAGTCACAGGTGTGGCTAACTCTAAAGCCAATGCTTTTAATAACCTCTCAAATCTTTGTTCATTGCAGGAGATGGATTTTTTTTTTATTATTTCTTATTGTAGTTAGTATGAAATGCTACTGGGGGTTATTTCCTATTTCAAGCCTCTGCTGTCTCCTACTTTATAGGTGAGCATGTTAATGTTCAGAGGGGTTATAAGACCAGTACAAGGCCACATGGCTACTCAGGGGAGCCAGGTACAGAATTCATGCTTCCTGATGCCTAGTCCAGGTCTTCTCTATTACAGAATGCTTCAGGTCTCCAGTTTAAGGAGACAGGAATGTCAACAGGTCGCAAAACAAATTTAAACCACTTTTGTTAATCCTGCGACGAAACCATTCTCTTAAAGGCCACCCCCAATGACCTTCTCATCATGACATCTAAATTATTCCTTGGTTTTTACCCTCTTTATCTCAGTGCCTTCTTTATGAGGCTTTTCTTCCTTTATCTACTCTGAAGCTGAACTCTCCTTGTTCTTCTAACTCCAACCATACCTTCCTTCTCTTCTTTGTTAATAATTTCTCCTCTTTCTTCCTAAAATACAGGCAGTTCTCAAAACTTTGTCTTAGACCCCCTTTTTCTTTGCTCTCTCCATTAGCAATTTCCTCTACCCCTTCGCTTTCTGTGCAGAAGACCCCCCAATCGTTATATTTAGCCTGATTTCTCCTCCAAGATATAGACCTGGAACTTAGACTACTTGTGGAATTTAACTCATGTGAAGCTAATTTTGACATCTACTCTCCTCACCAAACCTATTTCTCCCTTCATGTTCAGGCACTATCATCCCAGTGCCTTGTCATTCTCTCTGTGAGGACCTCATGCTCCTTTATCTCTTGTTTGCACTTTTTAGAAGCCCCTTAAGGGACCTACCTATCACTAGCCAAGTTGTACTTCACCCCATCCCCTTGACTGAACCCAAAGTAGTCTTCTTAAGGGTATCTTAGTTCATTTCACTCTCCTGTGCAAATAAACTTTGAGGGGTTTCCCAGCATTTACCAGCTAAAATTCAGCATTCATAGCCTTTTTAAAAATCTGATTTCAACTGACTTTTCAAGTCAAATTAACATATTTCTTTTCCTCTTGACATGTCTATACCTTCCCATTTCTGCATCTTTTTTCTAAAACGATTTCTTTCTCTAGAAAGTGTTTCTATATTTCTATTAAGACTCAGTTCATCCTTCAAGGCTACCTCCTTGTATTCTCAGCCAAAAGTAATACTGGCTAGTCCTCTTTAACCAATGATGATTGGTACCAGCAAAAAGACTGGGCAAAGAGAATCCACTTAAAATAGAGTGGCCAACATTTCATAATAACTAAGAATGAAAGGATTGATTGGAATTTTAACTTGAAAAATGAAACTGAAGATTATAAATTATAAATGTAAGTTTCTTTGCTATAATAAAACAATTTAGGTTATAATTGAAATTATTCACTAATTCTTGAAACTTACAAAGAGCAATTCATTTGATTTTTGACATAATTTTCTAACAATTATATGATAGAATAATTTAATCACATGATTTTGACTTTTACAGCATAAACTTAGATGTTTTTTTGAAAATATTCTAGAAACTCAGTTTTACCCAGCACCTTTTAATTATTTGATTTTAAAAGTATCATGTCAGTCCTTTGTCTCTTCTTTAGTTAACTGGTTTCTGTCTTCCAGATCCTCCTTTATAAGTGACTTTGCATATGATTTGAGCGATTCTCCACCATTATCTCTACTTTCATTGCCTTTATGCAAAGATGCAGATTTTTCAATCTCTACAATTTCTCTTTGCAGTAGATTAGTATTGATATTGTAATTGTTAAACAATCTACAGGATTGTGGTATATGTATACCATGGAGTACTACTCAGCTTTAAGAAACAATGGTGATATAGCACCTCTTGTATATTCCTGGATAGAGCTGGAATCCATTCTACTAAGTGAAGTATCTCAAGAATGGAAAAACAAGCATCACATGTACTCACCAGCAAATTGGTATTAATGGATCAACACCTAAGTGGACATATAGGAGTAACAATTACCAGGTGTTGGGAGGGTGGGAGGGGGGAGGAGGGGATAGGTATATACAACCCATAACGAGTAAGATGTGCAACATTTGGGGGATGGACATGCTTGAAGCTCTTACTCGAGGAGGATGTGGGGCATGGGAAATATATATAACATTAACACTTGTACCCACATAATATGCTAAAATAAAAAAAAAATTTAAAAAATAATCTATAGGATCCTCTGTGATTGCCTAACACTTTATCCTTAGGTTTTCTGTAGTCTTTACCATGGTTTGAATATTTGAGAACATATTTGTTCTACTAGGTTTTAAGTTTCTTGAGGCAAGAATTATATTAGTACTTTGTTGTTTTCGTACTCTCCACAGAATTCATGGCAATAACTTGTACACAGTAAAAGCTTAATAAATATTTGCTGAATTCTATTGTTGATCAGTTCCCCAACAGAACCAGTCTTTGCTTTCTTGTTACATTTCATCTTTAGAAACAATACCATAAAACTAGATTATTGAAAAATCAGTCATTTATTTTTCCCAAAGGAGCAGCATACTAATAAATATTTGTATTCCTAATCAGAGACTCAATTTCTGATACAACCAATAGTGTATCATAAAATAAAAGTTATAATAACTAAAATGTTCTATAACTTAAAGTAACAAAAACATATTCCAAGTCTTATAAAATGTTTAGCAGTATATCACGTACAATGGTTATGTGTCTATTATAATTTGTACATAAAATGTGAAGGTACAAATTAGGCTGTGCCTTTACCAGAAATGTAAAGGCTGTCGTAAACATCAATTAAGATTCTAATTGACAACAAATTCTCTTCTTCTAAAATTTAGAAGTGGCTTCGGAGAATTATTTTAATAACCTAATTCTTTAAAAAGACTTTCTCAAGTAAGTCTTGAGTTAATACTTCCTTTTACTCCCAAGTGGAAATGAAGTTTAGGGGAAGAAAACAATTCCATAGACCTTAGATCTGCCTCATTTGATTGTAGGAATCACTCAATACTTGATGTTTGTGCTTCTGTCACTGAAGAAATGATCTAAAAATTTTCCTCACTCACTCTCTCTTTATTCAACTTGAAGCCAATCAGTCTCGACAAATAAATCTACACAAGAGCAAAAGGTAATTATGTCATTCTATCTGATACTTCGTCATGAGAATACTTCACACATCATTGGAAGGCCATAAAAACTATTATTACGACATTGGAATGTGCTTTTGTAAAGGTCATTTTTGGCAAAAGATGGTGCCCTGACTTAGTATGTGCTATTATATGAAAATTACTGAATGACTAAAGGTGGCAAAAATCCAGAAATGGTGGGAAATATGCGGCTATGAGCGAATGGCGCTGAGATCTATGAAGTGGCTTGGGGTGGAGACTGCCTGCATTGTTAACATCTAACTAGGAAAATACCAAATTTGCCTCCAGAACTTGAATGTTCTTGTTCTTTTTAAGTGGAATTGTAGTGTACCTAATCTAATGTGGGTTTTTCAAACAGTCTGATAAACTCACTTTGTACTGGAGGTAAAATATACACAACTTATCCAAAAGATGAGTTTAGAAACCATTCTCTGAAAACTTGCTTTTCTTTTCAGTACTTGAACATGTCCTTCTGCCTTTATGATTCTCTTTGTTGCCTAGCAATGCCTATAAACTTGCATGGACATTGTTAAAGGAAAGCTGACCTCCGATGTACGTCTCTATTCCTCCATGTAATTATGACAACTAAAATCAGATGCTCTGCTCTGGTCCTCACTGGTTATAATGCATTGGTTCCTCCACTTTCATAAATATTTCTTATATTCTGGGTCAGGTATTGAGATCAGTGGCTTTCAGGACATTTATTGAGAACATTTGCTCAGTTCAACTTCTATTAAAATAATACTTAATTCAAACTTTTCTTCTCATCTAGCTTTTTAAAAGCAAATCCTCATTTTTTATTTATTAGGGGGTGAACCAACATGCATTTCTGGAAGCCATATGTTATCTCAGCCTTCTCTGATGATCCTGCCTCGGTGCTCCCCTTTGTTTCCTATGGATTCATATGTTCATTTATTCATTTATTTGGCATATACTTATTAAGAGAAAGCTTTTTTAGGCATGGCATTATAGTCAGCCAGAACCAAAGCCATTTTTTATGAGAAAAAATAGTACATTTTCAGTTATAAAAAGACTAAAGGATTATTATCATTTACATATAATCACTGTAAGAATTTTCAAAGGACATACTTAAGAAAAGCAAAACCAAAGGAAAAAAGTGAGCCATAAGAAGCAATGGTGAGCACAAAAAGAGATTTGTAAATGTAATTACTGTTGACAATAAACAATAGCAATTTTTCATAAACATTAAACTATAATGCCAAACAACAAATAGGTTGTATATACATACATTCAATGGATTGTTAAATTGGGAGTACCAAAATAAATAAATAAAATTATAACTTCTAAACCGTCAGAAGAAAAAAAGTCATGGGATTTAGGAAGTGTCAGTTCAATAAAAGTTGGGAAAAGAGAGGAAAAAAAAAAAACAAAAGAAACAGAAAACACAATATAAGGTGATGGAAATAAGTTCAATGTGTTAGTTATCAACATCTTGTAAACTGATCAAAGTCACCATTTAGAAAAAGATCCATTGCAGATACTTTGGTCTGTGCCAGGTGCTGTCCTGAATGCTAAGCCTTTATTTGCTCATTTATTTTTAATAACAATCTCATGAAGGAGAGACAGTTATTATCCCCATTTTCTAAATGATGCTATTGATATACAGAACATTATTAAGTCACCTGTCCAAAGTCACAGGGCTTCAAGGTCTTGGAGCCAGGATTTGATCCAGATCAGGTCCTCTTGACTTGACTACTGTCCACCAGCATCACTTTTTTTATTGGTAATGTTGCCTGGGAAACACAAGCTACAGAATTCTATGTACAACATGATACCACTTATTTAAATGGTCAAATAAATAAAACAATACTATGTGGTATGTACCTATGTGTATAGTAAAAGTATGGGAAAAACACATTCTTCAGAATGACAGAATGATACTTCTTAATTTTGGGATAGTGGTTACTTTTAGATAGGAAGACGAAACAAGTAAGCAATTTCAGAGGACTTCAGATCTGTTTTGTGGCTAGTTCCACTTAACAGCAAAAATGTTAAGATTTGTTAAAGCTAGATGATGCTTTATAGTATTTTCTGTTCTTTTCATATGTTTGAGATATTTCACTATTAAAGTATCTTTTTTTAAAACAAAGAAACAATAATAGGAAGTAGACTTTGCTCCCTTTTCCACCTTCGGAAATTAGTCATTTAAACCCGAATCTTAAATATGAGTAATCACCCTTTTTGCATACTGAGATCACACACATATAAAACTATGACAAGGTTGGTGTTTGGGAGAGCAATAAGTAACAGCCCTTGTCTTTACTCAAATTTGGAACTGGGAGAGAGCAAGAGAGACAAAGGAATCAGGCAAATGCAGATCAGACCACCTTTGTTACTGATAAGGCATCTTCGAGGATGTGAATATGACAAAAGTAGGCTTTTAATACCGAACAGACCTGCCCACCCAATTAGAGGCAGCACTAGAGAATCAAAGACTTATACAAGGGAGGACCTGCACCTATAAAATTTATGGCAGGGAGGAGCAGACTAGATAGACTTCAGGTTTCCTGAGAAAGGAAAGAGCTTAGCTCTGCAAACCCATTTCCTACCCTCCAGTCCCTCTAGCCTCAGTTCACATCTGTAGGGGACTGAGCAGTGGGAGAAGAGACTGAGAGTTTTACAGAAAATTAGCCTAGAGGAAGTCTGAGGAGTAAGGAAGAAATGTTTCTACAACCTCCCCCAATCCACTCAAACAACAGCACCTTCCATCCCTTCCAGATTCATGAAATATTAGGAATTTTGAGGACATTTCTAGCATTAATTTATAGCCAAATTGTTGATACAACTGAAAACATTCTTTCAGTCCATTCAACCATATCAGATATAGTACTGATTGGTTGATTGATTTCCATGGAGGCATTCTTCCATAGTTCTGTCCTTTCTCCTACTTCACTCTGAACTAGTTGCCCTTTAGATCTTCCTCACAGCTCACATCCTTCACCACCATACAGGACATTCTCATCACCTCTCCTCTGTGTTACATCCTGTTTCCTGCTTTCTTACTTTACCCCTGCATTTGGGTAGAGGACATCCTTTAGTAGCTTCCTAATAACAGGTACATGGGAGATAAATTTTTCAAACATGCTTGTCTGAAGACATCTTTCTCCTACTTGAGTTATAATTTGACTAGACAAAGAAGTCTAGATATGATCTTCCTTTAGATTTCTAAAAATGTTGCTTTGTTGCCTTCCAGCTTCTAGTTTTACTGCTGACAATGTGATGTCTTTCCCTGCTAACCTCTGCAAACTTAGAATTGAGCTGTCTCGAATGAAGGGCAATCACCCTTCATCTATCTACTAAATAGCTTCCAAAATTTTGTTGCTGTCTGATCTGCTATTGTCTTTTCTCAAGTTTTCTTTGTCCTTTTGTGTTTATTCAGTTTTTGTGTATGTACTGTCGTTTTAGTGGAAAATAAAAAATAATAAGGAAGCAGAAATAAACACAATACTCAATTCTTCATGTTTAATTGAAAGTTCATAAATTTTTTATCATTTGGGACAAAGGTTCTAGATTCCTGAATTTTTACATAAATTCATTCTAATATGACTTCTAAATGTGGTAGTTAAGGATTTACTATATTTTGCTCAGCATGGCAATTGCTGCATTGATTGCTCTCACTTTTTTTGATCTTTTTTATATAATCAAAAGACCTACTCGACCAGAATCTGTTTTTGATTTGCATTTGCAGTAGTTGAGATGCTACAGGCCGTTATAAGATTGTGAAGATGAAGTAGATTTAAATAAGAATTAAGTTGCAGCCTATGCTGGATTCATTGAACCTTGGTAAGCAACTTCACTTGGACTTCATGTCATCATAAATTGGCTTCTGTGGGCATTGGGCCAGTGTTTATAGTGAGTCAGATTGTGATTTCCTAAGGGGTAAGGAGAAACCTGGGCTGCTAATGCATATATGTACTATTATTGGAAGGTATTATACTCTCTAGTGTCTGCTAAAAATGTAATTTAATGTTATAAAGAAATACAGAAATGGACCAGACCAATAATGGTTTTACTGGCCTAGTTGTAATTCATAGCAATACTCTAGTCAAATGAATAAAAAGTAATATTACTTACTACCCACTTGACCTGAATTATTCTTTGTGGGTGATTATCGAGTTGCAAGACCTTAATAACAAGCCTGAGTATCTAATTTAGTCAGATACTGTGATCTGGAAGATCTGAGGATCTCTCCCTTTAGCACAATATCAGTTTAAATACCAATAAGTATTTGCATATATAGTAACTGAACATCTATGCTATGACTGCAAACTTATGGAACATTATTTGTAAACACAGTTCTGTGTTTATAATAAATTTTATTTATTTTTTAACAAAAACAAATAAAATGAGAAATAAAAATGAGGCCTTCTAAAAACCTGCTTAGAAAACACACCCTTCCCTTAGCTTTGAATGCCGTTCTATATTGCTATAAAGTCAGTCATCTGAATTATTTCATTACATAGGTCCCCTACATACAGTTATTTAGGGCTTCCCGACAGCCTTTATAAATATGAAAAAGTAGAGATTTACAGGTTCCTTTATGTTTCATATCATAGAATATATTTTATATTAGGGGTGATCAACAGAATTTTTATGGGATGAAGCATGGAATTAAAGAATTAATTATGTCTTTTGTTCAAGTATCTCATACACACACTCACATACACCCCCCAACAACACAACAATATATTTTACTCCCCAGGTAACTTGGGCATAAAGTTTCTTCTTGCTGCAGTTATTATGTGGAGTTTGGATGTTCCTTGCCATTGGCTTGCCATATTGAGAAAATAAACTGTAGGACGATCTGCTTTTAGACCAGGGCAAGAAGTTTTAGTGCGGAAAATATACTGAAAGTTTAGATGTAGCCAGTATTTGAAACAAGGCCATATATGAGGCCACAGTTTGTACTGATAAATAGAAACATGGTCTAATTCAGTTCTGTCCAATAGAACTTTCTGTGATGCTGGAAGTGTTCAATATCTGTACTGTCTGATATAGTAGACATATTCACATGTACCTGTTAAGCTCTTGAAATATGGATAGCGTACCTGAAAAACTGAATTTTAAATTTTGTTTAATTTTAATTACTTTAAATTTAACTAGATAATAGAAAATAGGGTGTTCTTTCATAATTACCTGGGAGTATATAGGTAACAGAATTAAATTATTTTTCACAGCAGGTCCAGTTTATAAAACAAAATTGTTAGTAGCTTAACCATGGCACAGGGCAGGATTTCTTTCATTCATTCACACATCTACTTAACAAATATTCAGTACTTAGCATGTACGACATACGGTATTTACTATATTATGCTGTAGATGCTGAGGTAAACAAGTTTTCTGTTGCTGAACTAGGCTCCAAATAAATGAAAACCTTCTTAAGGTCACAACATATACGTGAAGCTGACCAATGGAGCTTGAAGGGGCAAATGGTTCTGTGGCTATTATAGAACAGGACAGTACAGCAAGGCCCAGGAAGCCGTCAGGAATCCTGCCTATGGCCAGGGAAAGAGGATCAAGCCAGAAAACCTAATTAATTTTTTTTTTCATAACTGATCAGTTTGAAGGAATGATATGTGGTTAAAAATTACCAGAAGATAAGAGTTCAAAACGCTAGAACAGAAATGAGGGCCAAAGCCAAGCAGAAATTATTGCAAGTTTAGCACAGTGAACAGCACGTTCCAGGAAGCTGCTATTCAACCAGGGTATGGTATTGTCCCATATTACAGCTGAGTGACAGCGACCTCTAGAGAAAAATCCATCTAGCAAGCCAATATAGATCAATGGAGGTGTAGGCCTGCCACTCACTTTCCTTATGGGTTGTCTTGGCTCAATGGTAAGGAAGGAAGGAGTGAATTTATAATTTGAGCAGTAATTCTGCTCTTATGCAGGTGATTTGGAAACCAATCTAGCCTTGAGAATCCCAGCTAGATTCTACATTTGCATGCAGTATCTACAAAGGACTTTCCTTGGCTTCTTTTTAAAACTGATTCTCTGACCAAAACACTATAAGGACTCTTTCTTGATTCCAATGAGAATTTGGAATCGATGAAAGATGTGGGAGAGAGTCATCTTTTATTTTGTTCTTTGTACTTTTGTGAACTCAAAGGGAAGGAGGGACTATAGCCAGATGCATCTAAGCTTGGAACCTGATGTAAAGTGATCCTGTGCTCCTAACGCAGAAAGGAAGTGAAACAGAACAATAATAAAAATGCCACCATCTAGTTATTTTGCTTTATAGGCTTAAACTGACATTTGGATAATTCCTTTCAGAAACATTTAAACTTATTTTCAAAAAGTCTAAAACTTATTTTCAAAAAGTTCATGGAATAATAGGAAGTAGAGTGTCCTTTTACACTTGGCTAGAAATACAGATAACAGAATCCAGTTATTTTCTGAATGGCACAGTGGGCTGTGTGCAAAGAAGACCTATAGCTAATCTATAGCATCATTTCTTTTTTTTTTTTTAAAGTATTTTTATGATGAAGGTTCAGAATTTCCCCTTTTAGGAATCTTAAGAAAAATGACTCTTCTGAAGAAGTTACTTCTCGCATCTTTGCTGCTTAACTGTATGCAAGGATTTTGACAACTGTAAAGATAGAAAATGAATTTTTTGTTTATAGAATTTCTCCTTCTTCCCTGGACAGCTGTTTAGATATATAGCTGCATACTCATGCTAAGGAAGGTCCAAGAGAGAGGAAAGTGTAGCTGCCTCTTCAGGTCCTATCGAACAGTACCCCAACCCCTACAGCCAGGAAGTTCTTCGGGGAAAAACCAGTGGCTCATCTGGAAGCTCATTTTCTTTTGTCCTTTCTGCAGTGAAACAGAACAGCTGCTGGCCACATTGGCAAAATATTTGAAGATTATTATTTGCTTATCAGCTTCTTCTTCTTCAGTTAAATAAATGGTGTTTCTTTTGTCTTTCTCTTTGGGGCCAACTTTATCATTTTTTTTCCCTTTAATCTCTTTGATTAGTCTCCTTAGGATTTCCTTCCAAATCTTCTATAGATGTTTTTAGTTTGTGGGCCTAAAACCGTAGCCATGAAGTACACTCGTAAAGGCTTGACCAGTGTGGAGCCTAAAGGGATGACTGCCCTGTATTTCCTATCAGCACTATACTGAAAATATTTTTGTGCAAACCTTGGTTTTTAAATTATAGCATAATATCACTGGCTTGTATTTAACTTGCAGCTTTCATAGGAGCTCAAGTTTTTGTATCAGGGGCACTCAGTACCAGGCCTGCTAAATCTTTATTGGTTCAGAATGGTTTGACTTAGGAAAATCTACACTAGTGAATCTTTACTGTTGCATCTATCTGCCAACTCCTATAATAGCATTTCCATTAAGAACTTTTATTCAGTATTCCAATTTCTGTATCCAGTTTGTGTAGGATTAAATTTTTTCACATTCAGTCAGTCATTTATTTCTTCAACATATGTTTATTAAACCCCTATAATTCAGGCGCTGCCTGTCCTACCATGTGAATCATTAATGTATTGATAAATACTTTGGAATCACACTATAAGCTTATTCAGCCCAAGGCAAGTGTCTGTTGGCCCCATTTCAGGGAATTATAGCTAATGAACTATGAAAGAGTCCTCATTAGAAGGCAAGTCTTCAAAGACAGTATGAGGGTATAGTACCAGGCAGTGAACTGAGCCTGCCAGAGCTTGTTTGAGTATTTGCCCCAGGATAAAAGTGAAGCAAGAGTTACCATTTCTTAGATAACACCATTTAACAACAGTTATGATAGAAGTCTACCTTTAATGTTCAATTATTAGCTAAAATATAAACCTCACTTTTCTCTTCTTGTAGTCTGGTAACTGTGGGTATTCCCAGGGTTTACTTAGTCCGTGGTGTTCTGTTCTCTGTTCTTTTCTTTGGTAATATGATCCTGTGCCACAATATAACTCTTTTTCTCTTTACTTATGTTCATACTTTGTCTCTCCAAGCCCTGGTTCTATATCATCAGCTACCTCAAATGCCAT